CCCACTCCCTCCTGCCCTCCCCCTCTCCCTCCTGCACTCCCCCTCTCCCTCCTGCCCTCCCCCTCTCCCTCCTGCCCTCCCCCTCTCCCTCCTTCCCTTCAAACCCTTCCCTCCACCCCATCATCAAACGACCCCCCCCCTCCTTCCTTGTCACGCTCCTCAGGGCCGTGGTGTGACACTCTCGGTGACAGGGAAGAAGTTTGACATATTTTTTCAGGGAAAAAGCTAATTAGTGTGACGTAAATTAGTGTTCACTTAACGACGATTTGATGTGTGATTAGTGTCTTTGTCTTGGGAAGTAAATTCGGACATATTGGTACCTTCTAAGATGGTAAACGGAGATTGACTTCATATCTAACCATGTCTATTGAGACACACAGTAACCAATAGTCACCAGCGGCGTATGCAACGTTGGCCCCTCACATAGGGCAGTCTTTAGAAATCTTATCAATGAATCATACGTCAGACCATTTTGTGGTAAATGCATCGCCAGCGTGGACTCCATTTATCGTCAAATACTAGAGGAAGCTGTAGAAAGACCAGAGGAATAGCACCAGACATGAAAGGTGTGAGGTACAAGGAATACTCGAGGAGCACACGGTACACGGGGGAGGGGGGTTACAGTGACACGGTACATGGGGGGTCACAGTCACACGGTACATGGGGGGGGTTACAGTGACACGGTACACGAGGGGGTCACAGTCACTTGGTACATGGGGGGGGGGTTACAGTCACACGGTACACGAGGGGGTCACAGTCACACGGTACATGGGGGGGGGTCACAGTCACACGGTACATGGGGGGTGGTTACAGTCACACGGTACACGAGGGGGTCACAGTCACACGGTACACGAGGGGGTCATAGTGACACGGTACACGAGGGGGTCACAGTCACACGGTACACGAGGGGGTCACAGTCACACGGTACATGGGGGGGTCACAGTCACACGGTACATGGGGGGGTCACAGTCACACGGTACATGGGGGGTGGGGGGTTGACAGTCACACAGTTGCAGGTGGTGGAGGCAGACACCATACTCCAGGCACGGAGTGTCTTCACAATGCTAACTAAAATTCAAACATTAATTTCCATCCGTCCAACATAGACAGTTGATCGAGGGTCAGGAGCCGAGACCCAAGAGCTAATCCTGAGCCTCCACAAGCACAACTAGGCAAGTACTGAGTACACACACACACACACCCTTTGTGCCCGGCTCCATTCATGGGCTCACCTTTGTAAATGTTTGGCCTGGGAGGCGGCCGTGTTTTACAAGACCAACCACTGACGTAAATATTTACTAAGGCACGGAGGGAGGGGGGGGGGCAGAAGGGGCCCTGGGTACACGACTAAAGAGGTGAGGGAAGGGCTGGACTTGAGGGAGAAAAAGGGAGGGAATGAGGGAGGGGAAGGCAGGATGTAGGCAGGAATAAGTAGGCGAAGCGAAGGGGGAGAGATATAGGAAGGAGGAGAGAACATATAGAATCTCCAGTACACTTATCATCTGAATTCCATCCACCTGGGCACTAGTAGACTCGAACCGTGGACCCCAGGCGTGTGAAGCCGTAGCTCTACCAACCGAGCTACTGAGTGGTCTTAATAATAAAACATCTGAATTTCTGAATCCTACCAAACACTCACCCATCGTGTCAGCGAGGCGGTCAGCCCGCCTGCAAACCTCCGCCTGCAAACCTTTTAGCAGTCTCCGTGGTGTAGTGGTAAGACACTCGCCTGGCGTTCCGCGAGCGCTATGTCATAGGTTCGTATCCTGGCCGGGGAGGATTTACTGGGCGCAATTCCTTAACTGTAGCCTCTGTATAACGCAACAGTAAAATGTGTACTTGGATGAAAAAACGATTCTTCGCGGCAGGGGATCGTATTCCAGGGACCATAGGATTAAGGACCTGCCCGAAACGCTACGCGTACTAGTGGCTCTACAACAATGTAACAACTCTTGTATATATCTCAAAAAAAAAAAAAAAAAAAAAAAATCTAACCCATTATATTCCACATTTCCACACAACCTTTTCTTTCACCTACACCTCTCCATCTTCTTTACCCCCCCCCCTCCCCAAGTGACATAAATCACTAGTTCTTCGTTTACTTAACTGGAGTTGAATTGTCTCGTTTGTCTCCCTCTCAGTACTGACTATATGTCTGCCAGCTTTCTGTTCTCATCTGAACTGTTGTTAATGTATTGACTATTATATGCACACAGCTTACGACCACACGTTCAGAGGGTAATGCAGTTTATGATAACATTCTTGTTTAACACCACCCTAGGTAGAAATAAAGCTATCCAGGCAGAATTAACCTTATCAGGACAGAATTAACCTCAACCAGTCAGAATTATTAACATCAGCCATACAAAAAATAACTTCATCCAGGCAGAGTGACCTCATCCACACTTAATCTCAGCCAAGCAGAATTAACCTCACCAGGACAGAATTAACCTCATCAGGACAGAATTAACCTCATCAGGACAGAATTAACCTCACCAGGACAGAATTAACCTCATCAGGACAGAATTAACCTCATCAGGACAGAATTAACCTCACCAGGACAGAATTAACCTCATCAGGACAGAATTAACCTCATCAGGACAGAATTAACCTCACCAGGACAAAATTAACCTCATCAGGACAGAATTAACCTCACCAGGACAGAATTAACCTCATCAGGACAGAATTAACCTCATCAGGACAGAATTAACCTCACCAGGACAGAATTAACCTCATCAGGACAGAATTAACCTCATCAGGACAGAATTAACCTCACCAGGACAGAATTAACCTCACCAGGACAGAATTAACCTCATCCAGTCGGAATTAACCTCACGCATGCAGATTTAACATCAATCATTACATAACTAACATCAACAATGAACAATAACTATCGTAACAGCTGAAATTCGGGTTGTTACCTAACGTTGCCTACAGGCCTTCACTCAACCCCCTGGTCGAGTTGTAGCTAGAACAGACAGCCTGGTTGATCAGGTCAGGGAGGCCCTGGGCGGGGTGTGGAAAGGGGGGATGGGATGACTGGAAAGTCCACAAGTAAACAATATACCACAATACCTTGTGATAGATGGAGTGGGGGGGGGAGGGGTGGAACAGAGATGGAAGGAGGGGGAGAGGAGGGAGAGAGACGCGTAGTGAGAGGGGGATGGGATGGGAAAGGGGTGTGGGGGGAGAAGAGAGAGAGAGAGAGAGAGAGAGAGAGAGAGAGAGAGAGACCCGTAGTGAGAGGGGGATGGGATGGGATGGGAAAGGGGTGTGGGGGGAGAAGAGAGAGAGAGAGAGAGAGAGAGAGAGAGAGAGAGAGAGAGAGAGAGAGAGAGAGAGAGAGAGAGAGAGAGAGAGAGAGAGAGAGATACAGAGTAGGGGATCACGACAAACTCTCTCTCACACAGTAAACACAACGTTTTTTGGCGTGAGGGAGAGTGTGGGAGGGGGAGGGAGAGTGTGGGAGGGAAGGGGTGAGGGAGATTATGTGAGAGTGTGAAAGGCAGAATGAATCAGGTCATGATGGAGAGTAGAACTCCTATTACAGTGAACAGTGAACACCGTCACTCTCACAGGCGGAGTGGGTACCCGCCGTCGCTCTCACAGGCGGAGTGGGTACCCACCGTCACTCACAGACGGAGTGGGTACCCGCCGTCACTCACAGACGGAGTGGGTACCCACCGTCGCTCTCACAGGCGGAGTGGGCACCCACCGTCGCTCTCACAGACGGAGTGGGTACCCGCCGTCACTCACAGACGGAGTGGGTACCCGCCGTCACTCTCACAGACGGAGTGGGTACCCACCGTCACTCACAGACGGAGTGGGTACCCGCCGTCACTCACAGACGGAGTGGGTACCCGCCGTCGCTCTCACAGGCGGAGTGGGCACCCACCGTCGCTCTCACAGACGGAGTGGGTACCCGCCATCACTCTCACAGACGGAGTGGGTACCCGCCGTCACTCTCACAGACGGAGTGGGTACCCACCGTCACTCACAGACGGAGTGGGTACCCGCCGTCACTCACAGACGGAGTGGGTACCCACCGTCACTCTCACAGACGGAGTGGGTACCCGCCATCACTCTCACAGACGGAGTGGGTACCCGCCGTCACTCTCACAGACGGAGTGGGTACCCGCCGTCACTCTCACAGACGGAGTGGGTACCCACCGTTGCCGTCATTACTGTTAATGCGACTGTTGTTCAGTTTACTGTTTATCAGAAATAAACCAAGATATATAAAGTCCTTAACCCAACAGTAACAACAGTCACTGTTAACAGGCATTTAACAGACGATATAGAAATTCGGTACTGTTGTAATACCCCCCGTTGAGTAAGGTACCGTTGTAATATGCCCCGTTGACTGCGGTACCGTTGTAATACCCCCGTTGACTACGGTACCGTTGTAATACCCCCGTTGACTACGGTACCGTTGTAATACCCCCCGTTGACTACGGTACCGTTGTAATACCCCCCGTTGACTACGGTACCGTTGTAATACCCCCCGTTGAGTACGGTACCGTTGTAATACCCCCCGTTGAGTACGGTACCGTTGTAATACCCCCCGTTGAGTACGGTACCGTTGTAATACCCCCCGTTGAGTACGGTACCGTTGTAATACCCCCCGTTGACTACGGTACCGTTGTAATACCCCCGTTGACTACGGTACCGTTGTAATACCCCCCGTTGAGTACGGTACCGTTGTAATACCCCCCGTTGAGTACGGTACCGTTGTAATACCCCCCGTTGAGTACGGTACCGTTGTAATACCCCCCGTTGACAACAGGAAGAGAGCGGAGCCAAAGATAACGGATCAGAACACTTACCTTTTCGGGTAGAATGGCACAGTAATAATTACTTATGAGGACTCCTAATGAACAGGAGGATGTCGTGAGGTGGATGTCGTACCTCATCTGTTTTTGTTCCAGAGAACAATTACAGGCTGCTGTTGGGTACACAACAACAACAAACAAAGACACACACGGTGGTGTACAACGTACCTGTTTACCGTTGTGGTGTTAATAACGGCTTTCCTTCAGGCGTTTTGTGTTTGTGTTTGCTCCGAAACACAGGTGATTCAAGACAATTTGTTTTGCCTTTTCTTGTCAAGTCGCTGTCAGCCGAACTGTCGCTCGTCTTGAAGTGACAGTTCGCGGTCAAGACCCAAATGAACACACACACAAAGTTTGTTTACTGTTCGGATATTAGCAAGTTTACGAACACCGACTCATGCCGTTGGATACAGGTAGACTATAAAAAAAGTTTGTGTTTGTTCGATCACGCTGTTTACCCCCGACTTGGGCTGTGTGTATCCACAAGTCACGCCCCGTGGAGGAGTGTGTGGAACGTCGGGGCCCGCTACTCTCTCCCCTGACCAAGAGGCAACTGAGTATGTCAGCTCAGGACCCGTGTTTATAAGTCTGTGTGTGTGCGTATGTCTCCGTCCCCTCCTCCACCAGACCCCCCCCCTCTCCCCTTTCCTCCTCCTCCTATCCCATCCCCCTATCCCATCCTTTCCGGTCTTATCCCTTTTCCCCCCTTCATCCAGTACCCATCTCTCCCATGCATCAGAGGGAAGGATGAGAGGTGACTGAAAGTAAATTATAGACTCTATAGTCCTTCTATACACTCTCAAAGTTGGTCCAAGACTCCTACTGCCACCGCTGGCGGCCCTAGAGCTTGGCGGGTCAACTTGAGGACAACTAAGATCCGCAAATAGTTCCAAGATACAATGTAACCACCATAGCAAAAAGAAGCCATGCAACCGCCATGCGCCATAACCGCCACAACCGCCATAACCGCCATAACCGCCATAACCGCCATAACCGCCATGCAAAAAGTCTCCGTCTATCCCAAAATTTGGCTTAGCATAGGGACACGGCTGAATATGTATACAAGCAACTGGATGGGTGTATATATAGACGGGAGTGCTGCAATGCGTTCATTAATGCGCACGCACATGTTTTGTAATGCATGTTAAATGTTTTATAAACATCTGCTGCCTGGCAAAAGGCAGAGAGGTTAGCTTAGTTGTTAAAGACACAGACACACACTCACACTCACACACATATGCATATATACATACACACACGCGCACGCGCACACATACACATACATATATACACACACGCGCACGCGCACACATACACATACACATAAACACACACACACACACACACACACACACACACACACACACACACACACACACACACACACACACACACACACACACACAACTAGGTGTACTCACCTAGTTGTACACACAACTAGGTGAGTACACACACACACACACACACACACACACACACACACACACACACACACACACACACACACACACACACACACACACATCGTGTCAGTAGTTGGCCTCGGTTGGGGGGGGGGTCTGGATAAGTCCAGCAGTCTTCCTGTCCCTGGTCAGTGTAAGTCCAATTAAGCTTTCAAGTTAAGTCTTAAAGTCGAAAGCACTACAGACATTCTCAAGCCTTAACAATATACAGGAAATACAGAAAATACATCAAAAAATTAACAACGTTAATACTTATTTCCTGCCGTCAGGGGACAGGAAGCCTGCGCTTACGTTTAGGTCCAACTACTGACCACCTTTGGGATACAACCCACAACAGCTGCCTAACTCCCGAGTACCTATATAACGCTAGGTGAACAGCGGCATTAGTTTGAAGGAAACGAGCCCAACCGTACCTGCCCCGCCCGGGGATCAACCCCGGGATCCCCCGACTGTAAGTTGAGAACGCAGACCACTGTACTAACAAGACCCATCAAGAGGGGATGTAAATACGACTCCATCAGTACCCGAGAAGAATGTGAAAGCCTTAAAACATTACGGGCTCACCATAGCCCGTGCTACTTGGAACTTTTTGTTCCAGGAAGCGAATCTTTAGCAACAACTTAAAACATCTCCGTTTTCTATAACAGGAGATAATTAACAGGAGGCCAATTGGAACAAGTCAGAAGATGGGCAATAAATTGTCATCCTAAACTAATCTAGATTAGTTTAGGTAAACTAATCCAGATTATTATAGCAACAAGATCACCAAGTTTCTAGGATAAAATAAAATAATAATGGATAATTAATATGGATTTCAAACTAATAAATGCGTCTAATAATTATAGTGGAAGTGCTTACTAATATATATACAAAAGATAGGACTCAAATTATCCTCAGCTGTAGAACACATCCCAGCTCGTTTTCTTTCCATGAGGGAGGGGAGGTAGTGTAGTGTAGGGGAGGTAGTGTAGTGTAGGGGAGGTAGTGTAGTGTAGGGGAGGTAGTGTAGTGTAGTGGAGGTAGTGTAGTGTAGGGGAGGTAGTGTAGTGTAGTGTAGGGGAGGTAGTGTAGTGTAGTGGAGGTAGTGGAGGTAGTGTAGTGTAGGGGAGGTAGTGTAGTGTAGTGTAGGGGAGGTAATGTAGTGTAGGGGGAGGTAGTGTAGTGTAGGGGAGGTAGTGTAGTGTAGGGGAGGTAGTGTAGTGTAGGGGAGGTGCTGTATACGCTGCTAAAGCATTATGTCACTTACAGGATGTGTGATGTTGGGATGATCGACCCCCCATGCTCCTTCTTAAGTAGAATTGGCTCCTATTGCGACAACAAACGACTGTATGATGTAAAATGGGGGTCTGGTTTTCCGTAGAGTTTTACCAGATTTTTTTCGAGCCATTATCACACATCTCTGTATGACTAACCATCCTGCGAGATGGAGACACAGTATCACCGTTACCTTATTCACTCTTGTGTTGATGATGATATCCTCATAATGCACCAGAGTCTGTCAGTGCAGACTACTGATCACATGTCTCTGTATGACTAACCATCCTGTGTGATGGGAACTTTTACCATCACGTAGCTAGCTTTTTGACACACACTGTACTCCCTTCATATAGTCTAGGGCAGCTGCACGAATGCACATGTGCCTAATGTATTAAATAAAAAAAAAACGTGACTACAAGTTGTTACAATGTTACAACAAAGTAACAATGGTGAAATTAACGTTGTGTGTTTGCTGCGTGTTTGTTGGGTGCAAGAATTGTGTGTTGTCAGAGAGAGACAGACAGACAGACACAGACCCGGGCATCGCCGGTTACTCCATCTAGTATATTAGAACAAATAATTACTGACTTGGTTAGGCTGGTTAGGCTAGGTTATAAGTTTGGTCAAATTTCTAGCTTAATTTTGACTCACAAAATCCCAGTCATATAAAAACAAAAATTTCATCATTCCTTAACAGAAAATGTCTTAAAAAAATTACATTTCAGGAAAATTCGGCCTATTAGGCAACTCTAGCTATTTTATTTGTGACGTCATCGTACCAAGAAAGTGGGTACTAGTCCAGGTTTGTTCCGATTGGGGTTACAGTAGTTAGGGATGCAGGAAATACAGTATAAATGTAAACTAAAGTCATGAACAATGACTACAATAATGTACACCCGACTCAACACGTGAATGAAAAAAAAAAAACTGTCAGGAAGGCAGACGGCCTTGGGAAACACTAAACAATATCTGCCAGAATCAACACAATAATAATTTCGACAAATTTGATACTCGGTGCACAGAAGCCGCTGGTTCGAGCCCCAATAAGCCCTCTAACATGTCAGTATTAAACTGTTTTAATTTCTATTAACACCCCGTAATATTGACGGTTTGGTGGACTGAGTTAAAAAGAGGGACGTATTGGGTGCGTTCACCGGTCTGTTGTTTTCTTCGAGTCCCCAACGTCAGAGTTTATCACGGTCCAGACTCTCTGTTGTAAATAATTCTTGTTCCTCCTTTATTATTTTATTTCTTGTTATTCTGACATTCTCCAATCCTCTGAGGTCATGGAAATGGTTCAGGAATCTCAAGGTGAGGTTTCTCACACCATCTTATATTGGGTCATAATCATCTCTGTGTTACTCCAGTCTAATCCCCTGCTCCTCCAGTCTAATCCCCTGCTCCTCCAGTCTAATCCCCTGCTCCTCCAGTCTAATCCCCTGCTCCTCCTCCAGTCGTCATCTGGAGTGGTGTGGACTCCGCTCTTAACATTGTTATCAAGTTACTTTTCCGCTTTTCCCTCTTATTGTAAATTTTCTGATCCTTCAACCCGTCTTTGATGCTTCACTTGTGGCTTACGTTTGTCCCTTCTTCCTTGTGTGTGTGTGTGTGTGTGTGTGTGTGTGTGTGTGTGTGTGTGTGTGTGTGTGTGTGTGTGTGTGCGTGCGTGCGTGCGCTTTGATACACTGTGATCATACCAGGAAATAAATAACTGTTTAATGCCATTTTGTCAGCTGGCAAACTCCAAATCAATTAATTCCTTTACGGTCACACACAAGTTTATTGTTATATGTATTGTGCTTACTTACTTACTTTCTTTGGTTGCGATAGCCGCTACGATGTCTTGTTTATCCTCGCAACATCGTAATATACAGCTCGATGCCCGTGTTTGCGTGCCGGTGTTGGCTCCACTGTGTGTGTGTGTGTGTGTGTGTGTGTGTGTGTGTGTGTGTGTGTGTGTGTGTGTGTGTGTAGAAGCACTGAATCATTGAAATAAGTTAACTTAACATCATAACAAATTATTCCTCAACGGTGTACTTAAACGCTTACAATCGCCGTAGTTCACAAAGGTTCAGGAACATTATAGTCACTAGTCAACAAAAAAAAAACTCATAATAACCTATAACTGATTGTTACAATTATACCTTGTACATAGTAATCTAGTGAACAAAATACTCCTGACACTGTTCCTATATAGAATAAAGTAACAATGGTAATGCAGAAAGTCAATAAGATGCAATATGAAAGGTAATCAACATATACAAACCTGTCAAGAAGACACAGAAATTGTCACCGGCTGTGTACTGTGCATCACCGGTAGACTCCAGAGGCGCAGGGATTAACCTCTTAAGGATCAATCAAGAGATTTAATTTAAACAGAATTTGAACTGCTTATCAGCAGGTTATCACTCTTTGACAGGAATTTATTGTATGTCAAGTATCCAACTGGAGATCTCCCTGCTCTCATAGCTGACTGCTTTTGTTCTTTTTTTACACAGGTGAGTACAGGAACAGACGGCTGTGGACTCCTGTTTACACAGGTGGGTACAGGAACAGTCGGCTGTGGACTCCTGTTTACACAGGTGGGTACAGGAACAGACGGCTGTGGACTCCTGTTTACACTGTTGGGTACAGGAACAGACGGCTGTGGACTCCTGTTTACACTGTTGGGTACAGGAACAGACGGCTGTGGACTCCTGTTTACACTGTTGGGTACAGGAACAGACGGCTGTGGACTCCTGTTTACACTGTTGGGTACAGAAACAGACGGCTGTGGACTCCTGTTTACACAGGTGGGTACAGGAACAGACGGCTGTGGACTCCTGTTTACACTGGTGAGTAC